GAGAACCGAGAAGATTTACACAGAATCATATATGATTAAAGCAGTTCTGTTGTACAAAACAGCGTTCTCAACCCTGACGTGAATTGCACAAATCAAAATATACCTATGGACCGTTATCTATGAAAATTCGAACTGTATTGTCGATAAGCACGTGCGCGTCACCAGCATTACCGTATCACTAACATCCGATTGATTTTATCATTTGCAGGTATAAAAGGAAAAAATGTAGTATTAAAAACAGGTCAGTTTATTGTTACATGCCATATACTCGTCCTACGGACAACTTTTCTAATTTCCAACAAAATTCAGTACAGCGATATTACGTTGTCTTCCTCGTGCGCTGTATCACGCTCTTTTCGTAGAATACATGGTTATCTTTACATTTGTTTCAACTGAGTGAGAAATATTTGCGTGCATGCCATGCATCAATTTCAGAATGACTTTTCATCTTGTGTAGAATTCTGGTGCCTCAGAAATCATGAGCACAGATAGGTAATAGCATGTCGGGCAAAATGAAGCTAACTTTCTTTACGAATATCTTATTGTGAATATTTTATTGCCTCTAAGCAACAGAGTATTAACAAAGGTACAGGAAATTGCTTTTAAACCACAATTTTTCACATGCTGTCTGCAAAGAACTATAGTCATTTTCAAGGTACCACTGCAAACAAATCTTGCTCCAGCTCTAGAGTTTAGCGTGGGGTTCACAAAATTTCTCGAGAACAAATGGCTGTTACTTCAGATAGAACGAAACCTAGCCGTTTTTAAACTTCCGTATTGCTAGAGCATGACGACGGTATGTGCTGCATTTTGTTCCTAAGGATACTGATACTTAGAGAATCGGAAATATTTAAACAGAATCATATATGATTGAAGGATTTTCGTCATACAAAAAGCATTCTCAACTGCCGTGAATTGCTTCAACCGAAACGCACCAAAGGAACGTTATCTATGCAAATTTGCACTGTATCGGAGATCACGTCGGGTACATTACCATCACACTACAATACGATATAATTATTTGCAAGTATAACAAAAAAATAACCGTAAAAAATACAGGGTAGTATATTTTTACGTTCCATAGACCGGTCTCAACGTAAACTTAGTTAGTTTCGAAACAATCTCAGAAAACAGGAGAAGCACTGTCCTCAATGTTCGCTGCATCAGACACTTTTCGCAGAATGCGATTGACATTATTTGGATCTGTTTCAGTTGAGTAAAAATTTTTGAGCTCATGTCATACATCACTTTAAGAATGATCTTTGATCTTTCGCAGACTTCGAGTCCATCAGAAACCATGAGCCCATACAGGAAACATTATGTCGGGTAAAATATAAGCATAGAGTATTTATCAAAGACACAGGAAATTGGTTTTATACGAGAATGCCACATTTGTCTAAGAGAAGCTGTTCTTATTTTCTACGTACCATCTCAAACTTCTTGCTCCTGTTCTTTCATTCGGCGTGAGATTAACAAAACTCCACTGGAACGCATGGATATCGCTTTAAAAAGAACAAAACCCTTCAATTTTTAAATTTCGGTGTTAATACAGCAGGACCTCCGTGTGATGTGTTTTCTGTTTGCAGAGATGCTTAGAGAACGGAACTCAACTATGCAGAATCATGTATAATTGTAACATTTTTGCTGTGCAGAAAAGCAATCTCAACTCTGCAGTGTACTGCACAAATCGAAACATACGCATGGAACATCGTCAACGCAAATTCGAACTGAATCAACAATAGGCATGTGCACGTTGCGTACATTACCGTATTACTACAATGCGTAAGATATTACTTGCAGGTATAGCATAAAAAACGACCGTAGCAAAACATTGATTAGTTTATTTGTACGTACCACAAAAAAGTCCTAGCGGTCAACTTAGTTAATTAGCAAATTTCAGCACGAGCGAGATACTTTTACACTGCCTTCCATGTGCGTTGAATAAGATTCGTTTCGAATGATGCGCAATTGGTAATTTTTAAACTTGTTTTAACTGAGTAAAAAACATTTACGTTCATGTCAAACCTCAATTTCAGAATAGTTTATTACCTTTGTGTAATTTTTGCGTCCCGCAGAAACCACGAGCACAGATGGGCAACAGTATGTGGGGCAAAATGAAGGCAGTCTTGTCTACGTATATATTATTGCGAACATTTGACTGCCTCTTAACGGCACAGTATTTGACAAAGGTGCACGAAATTGGTTTTGAATCAGAATGCTTCATGTCTCGAAAAAGACGTAGTTATTTTCTACGTAAAATTTCAAAGGAATCTTGCTCCTGCTCTAAAATTCGACATGAAGTTAACAAAACTTCTACATCAAATGTGTCCGTTGCTTTTTTGTAGGAAGAAAAGAATCCTTCTGCTTCAAAATTTCAGTGTTACTATAACAGGAACTCCGTTCTTTGCTGTTCCCGCTGATGCCGACATTAGAGAACAGGAAAAGTCTACACACTATCACATATGATCAAAATGTCTCTGTTGTACAACAAAGCATTGCCTACTCTGCCGTGAATTGTACAAATCGAAACATACCTATGGACCGTTACGTGTGCAAATTCAAACTGTATCTGAGAAGAGCACGTACGCGTACCGTTAATAACCGTATACCTATGATCCGATAGGCATATTTATTTGCAGAATAACAGGAAAGAAACCCGTAGAAAAAACAGGTCAGTTTATTGTTGCGCAAAGCAAACTGGTCTAAAGTTCAATTTAGTTACTTTCGAACAAAATTTAGCACACGCATGAAACATTTACAATGTCTTCCATGTGCGCTGAATCAGGCTCTTTTCGCAGAACACGCTCTTTAATATTTTTTGGATTTGTTTAGGTAAGTGAGAAATATTTGCGTTCATGTAATACATCAATCTCAGAGTGATTTTCGACGTTATGTAGAGTTCTGGTCCAAGCATAGTTACCTTCGTGCTTGACGTCGGCCTGGACGGCTATACCAGGTATCTTCGAAGCAGTTTATAAACATTTGCCTTTCAATCGGGTAATCGTTCATTTATGAAACGACCTCAGATGCTCACTAGACGACCTGCATTGGTATGAGGCATAGTGCTGTGATCATTCAGGTTTTAAGGCGAAGGTAGCATATTAAAAATGGAAGTGACTCCTGGCAAATTACAGCTGCCAGGAGGTTACTCTGCAGTCTGTATTCGAGAGGAGTTTGTACGAATCACCTTCAGTGAACTCAAGAAGATGGAATCGCCGACGTACGATCCAGACGGTAAATAACCGACTATTGCTGAAAGTTCCATCCCTACTGAACCTCAGCATTTCTGAACGTAGCACAGCCTTCGAACTAATTTACCGTCATCTGTGGGGGTACGTTTCAGGCATCACTGTAGTAGGATAATCGACACATTGCATAAACTTTGTCGCCGTTTCTGTTGCTGCAGTTAAACAAGTTGTACCAATGAGTTTGCGATTAAAAAATTAAATTTTGACATTTTCGTTTTCCATCACCTGACCGCAACGCTAAAATGGCCTGCAGCAACAATGGTGTCAAATTTTGTAATGGTGTGATTCTATAGGCGAAGTATTTTAAATAATGTATAAAAATATAAAGTCATATTTCCATTAACTGAGTGTAGTAGCAGAGTTACTACGGGTCTCTAATACAATATACATGCGTGTTCTAGCACGTTTAATAAATCCGTGAAAGTCAGACAATTTAGTAAATCGGTGGATCGGTTTGATCTTCTCCAAAAATGACCCGAGTCTGGGGCAAAATATCTCTAGGTCCTTACGTAAGGTCATTTTTGACCGTTCGCTAACCCTTCCACCGGCCGGTTGGTAAAGTAATAGCTTTTTCCGCTTTTTTTCTGGAAGCATTCGCAATATGTACCCAAATCGTTGCAGCTATACTTCTCAGTCTGGAAAAGCAGCAGCTGCACTCGAAGTCTCTCTCAGATATCTGTACTTTTGACCATGCTGAAACTCGTGAGCCGACCCATCCATCTCAGAAAGCCAATTGCTACCTCTTGTACGTAGTGTCGAAATTTTTGTCACTTTTGAAGACCTCAGGTAGATAAGTTTATCACTGAAATGCAATGAACAAGAATGACCACATCTGAATGAACAAATCTGACCAAATCAGAATGGAACAAATGGCTTTCATATTCAGGAGAATGGATTTCGCGATGAAGAGAGAAACTAGTTAAGCTAAATGGAAACTGCAACCGTAAGAGGGCATTTGTCATTGTTCCATAACGTCTTCAACGCATAGCTGAAGACCAGCTCCATGCAAAACCAGGCTTTGAGAGCAGGAAGAAGAATTTAATAAAATCACGTTGGAAACTTTTAAAAAAGTTAGATGAAAGGACGATTATGCTAGGGCTCATGAGCCGACAACTCGTTCACTGAGATTCACAAAGTGTAAGAACAGAAGTAGGATGGGACGTTCACTGTCATAGAAGAATAACGGAACTGTGACGGACTCGATTTTCGATCTGGCATGTGTCTGCAGTCATCATTCTACCCAAAACTGTAACGAGTAACTCGATCTAACAAGCATCTCACAGAGTCTTTCCAGACAGGAGGTGTGGCATTGGCATGGTGGGGACATTGAATGCTTCAGGAAGCGTCATACCTGTTAGGCATTTGTTCATATCCCTTAAAGCATGTACCGGCAGTAGCGAGTTCGAGATTTGGTGGATGGGTTTAAAGTGCTGTGACAGAGCGATCCAATATGAGGAAACGAAACAAAGCGACTTCCTCTTGACACGGCTGAAGAAATGCGACAGCCAACAAGTTGCATAGAGCAACCTTCGGTGACATCGTTATTAACATGGGTACAACATGGTAAAGTTTTAATATAGCAAAGCACGATTTAACACAACTTGAAGCGCAGCCAGGAGCCGTTGCCAAATGAGCTGCAATGTCCTGCACGTTTTTAAAGTGACTTTAAGCCAGCCTGATCGTAGCTACCATGAAACAGTCGGGTTTTAGGATTAATGGAGAAATTAGGGAGACTACCTCTATATTTCAGTGATGCGTTCTCCCCTGAAGTCGGGTGAAAGCCTCTGTTCAGGAGACAGTGGAGCTGGAGGCCATTATTTTGGCATCGGAATCGACAGCTGTCTGTATCGTGTACATTCACGAAGAACTGGCGCCAAAGACAATCACTTTGATCTAGATGATCAGCTGAGTTTGCTGGTACGGGCGATGCCTTCAAAGTTGGCAAAAACGGAACCTACAGACGACCGCAGCTGGACGGCTTGACACTTCGAAGCGCAAGACGACAAGTATGATGCTGCGTGCAATCGTACAGGACATGTTTACTCTGAATGCAAAGCACAAACAGGACCTTAGGTGATTTCCTATCTGACACGGAAAGGTTCAACTGCCTAGTGAGGATATGAATCCGCCCTCCAACCCAGAGCTATAAATCTGTGCTTATTGTTTAATACGAGTAATCCTTATTGATAGCCGTGCTTAGAGACTGGCATTGGAAAAGAGACGATCATAAACCTGATCGACCGTGGCTCGTCTGCCGCAATTATATAGTGCAAAAACGGACTCATCCATGGATCTAAATGAAACTACCGAAGCAGATTATACGCTCTTTACCATCACTAATCACACCACGGGCTATGGCATAATACGTGTCTGATTCCGTACTGCTCAATTCCAGTAGGAATTATTTTCAACTGATTAATAATCCAACAACTGATACACCTCTCATTCTCAGTGTTCATTTTCTGATACTTGGGAATTGCCGACTGGACCTCGCCCGATGAACTCCAACAGTTGTAGAATCCTACAAGTCTAAAGATGATCTGAAGTCTATTGAATAATCTCCATTGACTATTCAAGCTGAAAT